TGAGTCTTAACATGTATTTCTATCCTTTCTATATTAGAGAGAGAAACAAAATAAAACAAGACAAAACAAAACATATTCCTATAAACACATGTAACGAAAAAGACATGTAAGATCATTGTACAAGGAGTTCTACCTTAGTTCCTGTGTTGTCTCTTGTTATCTTCAATAGAATTGGCTATATCATCAGACATAGTATAATTGAATATATCAGTACATAACAATACTGTTATTCAATATACCAGTACATAAAAACACAACTTTGTATACAGTGTAAAACTTCAAAAACAGGCAGTTATCAAAGCACTATTTGTATTGCAGAGTCTTGTCATCTTCAGTGTAGTTGCCTTTACTCTCAGACTTGATACTAGCAATCATATCAGTTTTGAATAAAATCTGTCGATACCAATCAGCAATCAAACAAACCAGATTTAACTAAGATCAGTCCTGATAAAACAGTAAAAGTCATAGAGGACTGTAGATTAGAATAATAGAAAATTAAAGATGATTACTGTGCTGTATCCTGAAGTTTTTCAGATAGCTGTCTGTGCCCTCAAATCTAATGCAAGTAGACAACTGGGACAGAATAAAGTTTATAAAAAAAAGAATAAAATCTATCTAAGCAGAGTGGTACAAGTAATGTGGGTTTTAAATCCTGATACACTATTAATAATATCTTCTGCCATATTTTTTAAGGCTTTCTCTCCCCTGTCCTTCTCCAGGGTACACTGCGCATTTTTGAGTCTGACCAAGAGCCTTGGTTTTAAATTGTGTGTGTGTGTTTGTGGGGAAACCGGCTATTTACCTACCTGGTTATGAATATTTTCTCCCCCAGGTTTGATCTCTAATTGCATTCCTTTACCTATTAAAGCCTGTCTTTCCAACTTATCCAAAATACTGGTCTAGTTGCCCCTATTACCCTATGGTTCTCTGTCACATAGAGCATTGTTTTCTCATATTTTATTTTCAGTCCATGTACTCTTTTTCATGTTAATTTCTATCTTGGTGGACCCTGCCTCCTGATCTACTCCATGTGTGGTTCTTTTTTTAAATTTAGTGCATCAAGGCCATGTATATTAGAGATTACAACCAGCCTTCTCTGCTTCATTTCTATTATGCTCTTTTTTTTTGCCATCCGTCATCTGCTTATCTTCATTCTGTTTTGTGTTCCACTCATTGAGGCCTCTTTGCCACTGTTCCTGGAATCCTAGTACTTTTCTTTCTTTCTAGAATGCCCTGCAGTATTCTCTGTAGAGTTGGATTGGTGGTTGTGAATTTCCCAAGTTCCTCTTTGTCTTGGAAGCATCTTGTTTCTCCATTAATTTCTAGTGACAGTTTATCAGGGTATGTCAATCTGGGTTGGAGGATATTTTCTTTCAGGGCTTGGAATATTTCACTCCACGCTCTTGACTTGATGCTTTGTGTCAAGAAATCTGCCATTATTCTGATGGGCTTTCCTTTATATGTGATGTTTCTTTTAGTATTCTGTTCTTATATTGAATTTGTGGGATCTTGGTTATTATGTGCCTGGATGTAGCTCTGTTTTGGTTATAGGTAGCTGGAGTTCTGTAAGCCTCATATATCAGAGTATCATTTCCTTTTCCTTTGTTTGGGAGGTTTTCCTTAATTTTTTCTGTGAATAGCCTTTGTAGTTCCTTTGTTTGTACCCCTGCTTCTTCATTCACATTATTTATTCTCAAGTTGTAGATCCTCTTGTCGTCTTCTAGCCTTTGTACTGTTTCTGTTTGTTTCCTTGTTATTTTAAAAAAGTTTTTTGTTTCATAATCCCACATTGCAAAACTGTCCTCCAGTTTGGATAATCTATCCTTAGTTTCTTTCGAGCAGATTTGCCATCTTTCCATAGGGTTTTTCATTTCTTTGTAATCTGTTTGACTCTCCTTCATATATTCTATATTATCTTTATATTCTTCATCAAATTGTTCTCTCCTTTGTTTGAATTCCTCCCTTCTTCCTTCTGTGTCTGCTTGAGAGGTGCTTAGCATCTCTTTTATTAATCTTCTTATCTTGCTTTACTTGGCTAAATATTTCACTTTTGAACTTATCTATGAGGTTCCAAAGATATCTCTTTATGTCCACTGGTGCCATGTCTGATATTGCATGTGTGCTGTTCTCATACTCCTTTGTATTTATCTGTCCTGGGACAATGTTGTCAGGGTTTGGACCTGGGGACATTCTGTTGTTGCTTTCCATCTTTTTTGTTTCTTCCAGGAGGTCCCTATTTCTTTCTTTGTTGGTTCCAGTTCTTCTGAAGCAAACTGGCTAGGTGACCCTTCCCATGCAGTGTGCTAGTGATTTGAAGACAGGGGCTGGGTATGCTGGCCTTTCCCTTTTGGATCAGTGAAGCTGCTGAGACCTGCACTGTATTAGTATGTGCTGCCTCCCCTCTGGGTCATTCAGACTTCTGAGGCTTCAGTGCGTTAGTGTGGTTAGTGTGTGCAGCCGCTGTAGGGAATTGATTTCCGATAACCTTTGGTACTCAGCCAAGTCACATGACCCAGGCATAGCTCACTCCACCAATCCCGTTCGAAAGGGAACAACTGACTGAAGTCACTGCTACCCCTTGTATTTGTCAGTCCTGCCTGGTCCCAGAATGTTGTCCACCAGAGCCCCCCTGTCTGTGGAATGGCTCCACTCCCGTCACTCACCACAGCTCAGCTCTCCATTTAGATGGCCGACCCCCGACCTCTGTGTGACTGTGCCTCTAGTGAGTCAAAGCGGTGGGACTTTGAACAGCTTGGCAAGTCACCCGCTGCACTGGGAGCACTAAACCTTTAGTTGTTCCCATAATAGCATGGGGACTATATGTTTGATTGGTTCTTCTCACCTTAGTTTCTTCTTGGGATGAGAGACTTCATCTCCCCCTGTTCAGGGCTTCCCATACTGTATTATGTTGAATTCTAAGTTGACTATCTCAGGGATCCTCTTGTAGCCAGATGTTATCTGTCTGCCATCTGTTCTGCTCCTGATTTTTATTACTTAAGTGAGACTTTTGTGGTTCTTGACAATGACAAGTAATATTTTGATTACATCAAAGATTACACAAGAGAAACTGTGGTATACTTCCACATATATGTGTGATTTACTTTATTTAAGAGCATGGTCTCAAGATGTATCCATTTACTTAGGAATTTCTCAGTCTTATTCTTCCTTGTGGCAGAGGCAGAGTAGTACTCCATTGTGTAATAAAACCACATCTTTTTATCTATTCACCAGTGTGTGGGCATTTGGGCTGTTTCCAAGATTTGGCTGTTATAAACTCTGCCACTATAACGTGTGTTTGCATAAATCACTGTGGTATGATACTTTTGATTTTTTGGTAAGATACCCAGACGAGGAATAGCTGGGTCAAATGGGACCTCCAATTCTAGTTTTTTGAGGAATCTCCACACTGATTTCCACAGTGGTTTCACCAGTCCACACTCAGCCGACACAGGGTAAGTATTTTTTTTCCTGATTTGTTATTGGTTGATTTCTTGATTATAGTCATTTTTCTCTAGGATGAGATGGAATCTCAGTGTTGTTTTAATTTGTATCTCTTGAATGACCAATGATGTTGAACATTTTTTCATATATTTATTTGCTGTTTGTATTTCTTCATCTGAGAAGTGTGTATGCATTCTACATGCTCATTTTTGGATTGTCCTTAAATTTGAGAGATCTGATTTTTTGAGTTATTTCTCTGTTCCAAATCATAATCCTTTTACGAACAGCTGGCAAGCATTTTTTCCCACACTGTGTGTTTTCTCTTACCTTGGTTGATGTGGATTGCCATGCAAAAGCTTTTTTTTTGGTACCAGGGATTCAACTGATGACCTTGCACTTGCTAGATAGTTATTTAGGCCACTGAGCTAAATCCCTGGTGCAAGAGCACTTTAACAAGATGAGATCCCAGTTGTTTATTCTTTGTGCTAGATTCTGTGGGATTGGGATTTTGTTCATGAAGCCTTTGTGTATACCAATGTCTTTATGAATTTTAACTATTCTGTCTTCCCAGAGATTTAATGTTTCCATTTTATTTTATTTTTGGTACTAGGGATCAAACTCAAGAGCTCACACTTATTAGGCAAGTGCTTGAGCTGCTGAGCTAAATCCCTAGCCTGTAAATTTCTGTTTTAATATTTATGTCTTTGATGCATTTTGAATTTAGTTTAGTGCATGGTGAAAGATATGGTTCCTATTTTAATCTTTGGGATATGCAGAGCCAGTTTTTCCAGCACCATTTATTAAAGAAGCTATCTTTCTTTCAATGAACGTGTTTGGCACCTTTGTCCAAGATAAGGTGGTTGAATATGTCTGGAGTTGTTCCTGCATCTCCTAATCTGTTACATTTACCTTTGGGTTTTTTTTTCATGCTCTTTTTATCACAGTATCTTTCTAGAATAATTTCAAGCCAGGAAATGTGATATCCTTACCTTGTTTCTGTTGTCTAGAAATGTCTTTGTTTTCTAGGCAACATCTCAGGTGTGTTGCTCATGGTCCTGTCTTCAGGATGGCCCTTTCTGGGCTGTACTAGGAAAGTTATCTCCTGGGACCTCTCAAAGCTTCGTGTCACTTTCTTTAGGGTTCTGGGTAACAACAGGGATCCTTACTCAGGGATCAGGAGGTGACCCCTGGCCAGTACCTTATGTACTTAGATGCCCTTGGCTTTCACCACCAGCTTTTGGGCCTTCCTGGGGCACATCCTTGATATGGACCTTCATGAGCTCTTGCCATGGGCTCTGGCCTTTGGCTGGATTCGTGGGGGACACTGCCATGCAATCTGGGCCCTCAGCTAGATTCTTCGGGTCTCCTTCATGTGGACAAATCTCTTGCACTCTTCTGCATTTGAGTTTTGTGTGAATGTTATAAAGTAATCCTACACCTTTGAGTTCAGTAGTAAATCTACTCTTTTGCAAACCACTGAAGGCAGTTGCTGGGCTGGACCCGCTTCAGTGCTGCAGGGCGCTTTCCCAAGGGTCCTGGTGGAGTCGGGCCATTGGTGCAGCCCGTGGGGTGATGGCGTCAGGCCAGCTCTCCACGCATACTGGGGCTCTGTCCCATAATCCGGGTCTTGTGAGTGCCTTGGGAAGCCGGGCTGTTTCATTCTGGCCTTGGACAGTTGCCAGTGGACCTTACAGCTTGTAGAGCTCCCAGGATGGTCGTGTGGGAGGCGTTCTGGTTGTCTGGGGGCGACACCACCCTGCCTGGTGGAGTGGTGGCAAGGAGGAGGGACACTCCCCGGGCGCACTGAGTCCTGCTGCAGGCAGACACAGGCGCAGGTTGGAGCTCCACTGTGCAGGGCTGGGCTGCTTGGCAGTCTCACACAGCTCTGTTCCTTGTCTGGGTTAAACAGAGGCGCCCTGCCTGGCAGACACCAAGAGGACGGGGCCGCAGCGGGGGGCGAGGGTGCTCCTTGCCCGGCTGCGGGAGCAGTCGGCCCTTCCCTGGTGGGGTTTCTGTGTGGGTGGAATCCGTCTCTCCGTGTACCGTCTCCTGTGTCTGTAAACCGGGCCTCCTGAATTTCTCTTCCCTCCTGTGTCCCCTTTTGCTCCTAGGCGTGACCGCTGCCGTCAGTCAGATACATCGACAGTTGGCATGATGTTTGGTAATTGACTGACACAACTCCACGTGGGTTTCTGACACCATCGTCCTGCCCGAGAGCCTGAGGGGGAGACAGAGATGCTCCTGTGACCAGAAGGGGCGTGGACAGTGCCAAGTATCCTCACCCAAGCGCAGCAGCGGACTAAGTATGTGTGAAGCCAGGGGAGCACTTTGAAGGCGCTTGATAGCAAAGTGTCTTTTTGTATAATTGTTTTTTGGGAAAAAACCTCAGTAAACATTCACTGTAAATTTTTGATACTGGGGAGTGAAACTCCCAACCTACTGTGTCTGGTATGAGTTCGTGTTCTCCAAAATCGAAGAATGAATTTTAGGAACAATGGAGGTTAAGAGTGGAATACATTTATTGAGAGAAAGAAAGCTTCTGTCTGAGAGAGACAGAAGGGGTCTTGAGGGGGTTGCCAGGGACTCTGTCTTTTCTAGGGACTTTTATAGAGTAAAATCATGAGGTTAAATGTGTCAAAGGTAGGGAAAAATGGGAATTTGCAAGGTGAGCATAAGACAGGACAGAACTGTGGCCAACCAATAAGATTAATTGCTCAGGTAAAATTGATTAAATTAGGAGCCAATGGGGGAGCCAGTCATGCAGTAAGCACACAAGCTTAGCAGCAGTGACTGTCCTGTAGGGGGTGTGATGATGTCTCCTGACTTCCTCAGGGTGATGGAGAACTACTTGGACTGTGGAGCCTTAGGGTGTGGTTCTGTTTGCTTTGCCTTTTGTCTTGCAATCTGGCCCACAGCAGGTGATTGTCTCTTCCAAGGCTGCAAGGTATCTGAACTTCTGCTCTTGCTCCTTTGAGGGACCAGCCCTGTGTGACTGCCTATAACATTTCTAACTCACTCAGCTGCTGTAACATTTTGATCTCAGCTTGGATGCTGGGTAGAACACCAGGGTAGGACAGGAGTGTTCCTGAGGGCCCAGCAAAGGGAGGCCTGAGGCCAGCAAGGGTCTCTCTGGGGAGGGTCTCTCCGGCACAGTTTTGGGGTCACATCTGGCAGTTTCTTGGGTGGCTTGGACCCAGGATGTTTCCAGTGCCTCTCTGGGTTCCTTCTCTGATGCTGAAAGCTGTGAGCTGGGTGGGAATGATGGGGCAGACCCGACCAGCAGGGGAGCCCTGGAAGGCGAGGTGTGCAAAGGGAAACTGGGGCCATTTCCCGCCCACAGGAGCTAACTTCTGGGGCAGCCTGTGAGACTGCGCTGGCAGGAGCTGGGAGGAGTGGCTGGGGAGAGCTCTGGAGGCAGGGTGAGGCCTCCAGCAGGGGTCACTTACAGGGCCAGGGGCTCTGGGGTCTGCAGCCAGGTGCTCAGGTAGCAACTGGTGTGGACAGAGGAGCTCACCTTGGGGACCGGGCACGGGTGCCGTCCTGGCTTCACTGAAACACGGGACGCATCCTTCCTACCTGCTCACCCTCCCAGGCCATGTAAATGACCATCAGGCCATCATCGCAGCGAGAACACCTTTGCCACGACCTCTCCAGGAGTAAACTAGATGAGAAAAGAAAACCGTTGGGGTCACCACAGAGGGACAGAAGATAAACAGGCGTCTGGTCCCCAGCCTATGACTGCTAACAGTACAAGTTTTGTTTCCTTCTGAAAAGGCAGTGAGGGATTTAAACTGCTTTTGCTAAAAGACAAAACAAAATAAAAATAAAACAAGAAAAAGCACAGCAGCTGTTCACTTGGGCCTCCTGACGCCCAGGGGGAACTAGAAACGGTCAAAGCTTCTGCCATCTCTGCCTGAGTTCCATGGCTGGCCTCAGGCTCAGCTCATCCTCCTGCCTCAGGCTCTGGAGAGCGGGGTTCAGATCCCTGCTGAGCTCTGTGTGCAGGCAGGTCTATGCCATGTGGTTCATCAGCCCTAAACCACCTGGGCTCTCTCATCCCCTTCAAGTCAGAAGACACCAACTTAGGAGAGCTGGGGGTCTCTCGGCCCCCAGCCTTGCGGGTGCCACCTTCAGACCCCTGCAGCTGCCCAGCTTCCCGCAGAGCCTTTGCAAAGCCAACACTGTGTGGGAGCCTGGCTGCTCCTCCAGCCACAGGACTTCCCCGGAGCTGCAGAACCAGGACAGAGACAGGGAGCACCCCGAATGCTGCCCTCCAGCAGCCTCACCTTCCCCTGCACCTCTTTCTCCAGATGAGATCATCCCCCACTCTTCTACTTCCCATCAACACTTCTGCCTGTAAGTTTGTGCTTTGGTTTAGAAGTCTGTGACTGCCAAAGCTGGACCTCACTGGGGCCCAGGACACTAGGGGGCTGCAGTGAGCCATCAGGGAAGGTGGGGTGTGGCCCATGAGCCAGGTAGGTTTGGGCAGTGCATGCTGGGCAGCCCTGCCAGTGACCGCTGGCTTTCAAAGCAACACGGTCGGGGGCAGAGAAGACACCTTAAAAACTCTCCATTTCTGTGTTCCTTTCCCATTTATTCCCTGTTACACTTTTACATGAAAAGTTATTTTAAAATATCTGCCTCTGTGGCTGGGAATTTAGTTCCGCATCAGAAGCACCTGCCTGGCAGGTGTGAGGTCCTGCATTACATCCCTGGTAGAAAACAAAAAGGAAAAATTCACAACAACTACCAAAACCACAGAAAACAAAGAAAAACACCCCTCTCTCTGTTGTAGAGCATTTAGTATGTATCCTCTGAGGCAGGAGCCTCACCACAGGTTCAAGCCCAACCTGGGGGCACAGTGAGCTCAAGACCAGCATGAGCTAGTCTTGACGGGGGCTGCACAGTGAGATCCTGTCTGAAAACACACTGAACAAACAAGGAAAGCTGAGCCCAAAACCAACACAAGAGGGTCCCACAGGCTTTCAAGGAATGACTTTCAATACGCTCCTGAATGCGTGTGTAAACCTTGCCTTAAAATCCTGTGAGTTTACCCTCAGCCTCCGCCCCTCCCCCTGCAGTGTGGGCTCTGATGACACTGGCCATCAGGGCATGAGCGGCTTTCCTGTACTGTGCATAAACATGGGCCCAAAGGGCAGATCTGATAGCGAAGTTTACACACACACACACACACACACACACACACACGTGCACACACCACAGGGGTGAGAAGCAGTGAATTACAACTCCTCAAACCCAGGGTCCTCTGGGGTGAAGGGTTAGGGAGCCCTTGCTCCTGCCAGCCAGCAAGGCAGCAGGTCTGGGGTGAGTTAGCAATACCGCAGTGGGGGTAGACAGCAGTTAGAGAGGCCTTTGGGCTGGGCTCTGCTATGGGGAGAGTTGAGGGGAGGGAAGGGTAAATTGTTCCCATGGATCCTACTGGCCGTGGGTGGTGGGAAGTGGGATCCTTGGAGGAGAGGACAGGCAAGGAGAGCTGCCCATGCCCTGATGACCCAGGGTCATGGGAGAGTTCACAGTGCAGCAGGAGAGGGTGGACAGTGTGATTAAACCTTCAGGGCTTGTAAGTCAAGGTTTCAACACATACTCAGGAGTGTCTGTTGAATAATCTCCTTTTGAAAAGCCTTGAAACAGTGTTTTGTTGGTTTTGGCCTTAGATTCTCTTTTTTGTTTCTTTGATTTGTTTGAGACAGATTCTCATTGTGTAGCCTAGGATGGCCTGGAACTATCCCAGATCCTCCTGCCTCAGTCTGCCAAGAGCTGGGATTCCAGCCTTAGCTATTAACTCACTCATTTCTCTATCTAGTCTTCTACCTCTGGTCTTCATAATAAGTTTAGACCATCTCAGAATTTTGCTTTTATTAAAGTAAATTTTTGTGTCGCAGGTTGTGGTGACAGTTTCACCCTTGTGTACAGATCTCCAGAGAGATCAGTGTGTGCGCAGTGATGTAGGTAACCCTTTAGCTGACCAATCATGCCTCAGCACAGTGGTTAGCTGACTACTGACTGATCAGCCCTGAACCCCTCTGTTTGGTGAGTAACTCAGAGTCGTTCTGGTCCTGGTCTTGGGGACAGTGGTGTTTGTGGCTGGGGCTGCCCAGCAAGGTCCTCTTGGCGTGTGTCTAGGACCCATCCCTCAGGGCTGCCCTGCTAACCCTCCTGTGGGACCAGGAGCTGCCCCTGCTCTCAAGGGCTCAGCCAGGGAGGGGACAGGGCAGAACAGAAGTGGCAACAGGGCTTGACTGGCGCCCAGGGGAGGCTGGGCTGTGACTTCAGAGCCACCTTTATCCCATCCTCTGCCTCCTCTGCCAGGACTGCCACCCACCCTCGCCTACCTCACTGTGCACCCACCCCCCCCACTCCCTAATCTGGCCTCTGGGTTGCTCATTGGTGTTTTCATCCTACCAGGGGGTGGGACATCATCTGTCAGAGCAGAGAGGGATAAGTGTGGGGTTCTCACCTTAGCGCCCCTTGTTAACTTGGCTCACAGCCCCCAAGTTTGGTTTCTTGGTGTTGGTTAATGTCTGTTTCCCCTCCCATCCATTCTCTACCCTTCCTTCCCTGCTGTGTTATCTGAGACACCAACCCTTGTGGACAGACCCCCTTGGAGTCTTCTCATTGGGGCTGTCTGAGGCGAGGCCCTGTGAGAGTTCTGCGATTGAAACGGCCTATGAGCAGAATTGCTGACTGCGCAAGACCTGCTTTCACTGACCTGTGAGCCAGACTGGGTCTGGTTTATTATGGTCTCAGGGCTGGTTTTGCAAGCCGGCCCCAGGAGAAGTCCTCCTTGCTTAATGTGGTCTCCAGCAGATGCAGCCTTTGGGCTCAAGGATCTGCTACTAGTTTGGGCAAAGGTGCTGCCTGCCATGCAGGCGGTTTCCCTGTGAAATGGATGTGGCTGTGGGTGGACATTGCAGCAGTGAATACTTCTGTGCAGGAAGTGTTGTAATCCACTGGGGATCTGCTGTGAGGTCCGCGCTTGGCTGATCCATATTCCGCAGCTGGGACCAGGGGCCCAGAGCAAGAAGATAGGGGCCCAGGCTGTGGTCACCATGGCCTCCATCTGAGATGGAAACCAGGCCTGACACTTCTCCTGTCCCTCTGCCAGCCAGAGGGAGGTGATCTGAGCAAAGGCCTTCCTGCTCTTTCCTCACACACCCCGGGGGTGGCCCAGGTGACTGCTCCCAGGCCTTCCCCGCTCCTCCTTGGCTTCCCTGACAGCTGCCCAGGCTGCAGCCCTGATGGGAGCCTCAGCGGGGCTGGCCACCCTGTGGCTGTTTGGGGGGAGTGGCACCCAACAGGGCAAAGACTCCGAAGGGAGTGGCTCCCAATGTCATCCTTGAAATCCCAGGCACCAGTGGGCCAGAGTCAGAGCTGCCACCCCTCTGGACACTTTCTGAAAGAGGGGGCAGCTGTGACCAGCTTTGCCATTGCTGGGGAAAGGCAGGTGCTCTGGATCAAGCAGCTGCTTCTCCTGGCTATCACCACAACACAGGGTGTACTGGAGCCCTACGGCCACGCTGGGAGACGTGTGCCTTGCCCGTGGCAGGCTTGAAACATGAATCTGTCCCAGAGGACTGCACTCTGTTGCCACTGCAGGGAACCAGCCCTGCCCTGCTCCCTCTGTTGCTGCTGTGCAGGTCCTCAGAGGGTGCGCCCCATCCTAGAGTCTCTTTCTTTTCTTTTCTTTTTTATAGGCCGGACTCTCACATTTCTGGGGAACCAGGAGGGGAGCCCAGGAGTGACACCAAGAGCAGCAGGACAGTGAGAACCAAGAGCAGAAAACACCTGTGGGGGCCCTGGTAGGTCTGCAAAGACTGCAAGAAGCTGCTGAAAGAATTCTGGAAAGCCGAGCCCGGTGTGGTGGGGCACACCTGTGATCCCAGCCCTTGGGAGGCTGAGGCAGGAGGATCACTATGAGTTTGAGGCCAGAGTGGGCTTCACAGTGAGTTCAAGGACACCCTGAAGTATAGAGTGAGATCCTGCCTCAAAAAACAACACAAAATGATTTCTAGCAAGCTGCCAAGGGGTAAGGAGCCCTGGCTGTTGAGGAGTTGATGGGCCACAGTGCTCAGGAACAAGAGCAAGTAGTCTAAGAATGGAGCTGGCCACACCAGGAGAGTGGCTCCTGGTGACCTTAAGTCTTCTCAGAGACTAGCTTCACCCTGGCAGCAACAGGGACTCCCTCACTCCAGAGGCCCCTGAGGAGGAAGATAGATGTCCGATTTCCATCTTGCCCGAGGCCAGGAATCCACAGAGCTGGTGACCTGGCCTGCAGCCCTGGTTGTCTATGGAAATTGGGCCTGTTTTGAGTTGAAATGTGGTACAGAGAAAGTACTCAGCGACCCCCAAGTTCCACACCACAGGGTTTGGTTCTGTGCACACTGGGCGCCTCCTCCAGAGTGGGGCAGGGCTCTCCCAGTCCTTCCAGTCTTACCATCCCCTTCTGCCTGCGAGGGACCTCCACCTCGGGCCTGGGTCATCGCTGTCGCCCTGCCCATTCCTTGACTTCATAGCTCTGGAATCCCGCAGCATGCTCCACTCCATTGGATTTCTCTTGCTTCTTTCAAGGTGTCCAGGATTTCTCGTCTGTGGCTCGCTGCGTGCGGGAAGCGCCAGGGGGCAACAGAGGCCTAGGAAACCTGGTCAGAGCACCAGGGTAACCTTTTCAGGCCTGAACCTCCCTGGGGCTTTCCAGGCATCTCTGGACCTGAGCCCAGAACTGGGGCGCGTGCCCTTGGTTCAGCAATGTGTTTTGAACGTGCAGCAAACAAAAACACATGAGCATCACATAGTTCAGTGCAAATGAACAGCATTTGAAAGAGACAACACAAAAGGTTCTGTATTAGAAGTTCGGGCCTCTGCTCTGTCTGCCAGATTCCTCAGGTGTCCCCATTGCAGGTGTCCCCCAAGTGGGTGTCCTTATAGACCTCAGCTGTGCAAGGCGGGCAGCCCTACTCCTGTCTGACTTCGTGGCTCTGTGACTTTGGGTGCTGTTTCTGGTACCCAAGGTGGAGTTTCTGTTCTCACCATGAAGGGGATAAAATCTAAAAGGTTCAGGGTAAGCCTGTCGTGGTGGTGCATGCCAGTGATGGCAGAGGCCTGGGAGGCTGAGGCAGGAGGATTGCAAATTCCAGCCCAACTTGGGCAATTTAGAGACCTGGTCTCAAAAATCAAACCAAGAGTTTCGGGAACCTGGTGGAGCAGTGAGCAGCAGGGAAAGGACCTCTCCACGTGTTGGTGTCCAGACCCTGGAATACAGCAAAGGAGGAAGAGCGGGAGGAGAGAGGGGTCCCCTGGACACAGGAAGGGTCTGAACCGAGACTTGAAGCTCAGGGAGGGAGAGAATCCAGGAATCCAGCAAAAAGAAGAAAACCGGGGGCTGCAGATCTGCCAAAAGGGGAGAAGCAGCAGGGAAACTGAGCAGGCCTCCTGGCCCCCATTCACTGGGGCAGGCCCTGCTGCATGGGGAGAAGGAGCAGGAAAGCTGGGCAGTCTCCCTGTGTACAGGCGGAGGTCCTGTTGGCCAAGGAGGACCAGCAAGGAAGCGCCTCTGCCTCCATTGCCTCCATCCCTGTAAACAGCTGGAGGCCACACAGGCTGGATGATAATACCTGAAGTAGGGAAGGGACCTGACAGTTATGTTGTCTGACTGACTTTGCAGGGCTGGGGCCAGTGGTCCGGCAACTAGTTAGAGGATAACAATATGCAATATAAAAACCTGGTGTGGTGGCTGACTCCTGTCATCCCAGCCCTCAGGAGGCTGAGGCAGGAGGAGATGAAGACCAGCCTGGGCTACAAAGTGAGCTCAAGGCCAGCCTGAACTGCATAGCGAGACCCACACACACGTGCTCCCCCCCCCATATGCAGTATAGTAAGGATTGTGGATTTCCTACTGTCCTGTTACTGTTTCTTTTACTGTCCTGTTTCATTCCCTTTAAAATAAAAAAACTTTCAAAGGGTTGCGTATTTAAGAAGATCGACTACTTTAGATCACCTGTCACAATTTAGGATCCCCGAAACCTTCCTAAATTTATAGTAACTATTGTTTTGTGGCCAAAGCATTGATCTGAACCTGTGTAGACATTACCTGAAAGAGGAAACGGTAAGAACCTCTGCATGTCTACTGTAAAGGGAAGTAAACTGCTCACTGCTTTAGCATTACACCAGTTTTGTGTTAGCCATGAGAAATCATTCCCCGCCCAGTGAGCGGCTCGACTGAGATCCCGAGGTTACTGTTCATATCCTCTGCTGTGCTGGTCCAGTGTCCCATTGTGTCCTTGAAGTGTCATTGCCTCCTGGCCCCTCCTGCCTATAGGGAGGGCAAAGGGCTGCAAATCGGGGTGAGATAAGCTTTCTGACTATTGCACAATTCAGGCACCTGAGAGTCCAAGGTCCCCTGCAGGCTTTTGTTCCTTTTCAGATCTCTGGAGCTGGGCTGGGTTTGGAGCAGGCATCTCCAGGCAGAGCAAGACCCTCCTCCCTCACTGGGGCAGTGCCTGGATTCATATTTTCATTGTCAGGGCCCGAGACTTATCTCTGCTTGTAGTCATGCCAATGGTGTAAACAGAATAGATACAGTTCAGTACCAGAAACTTACTGGAGCTTAAATAAAATTTTGTTCGTCTTTTCATATACTTTCCCTAATGTCTGCGGGTCTTGAGAGTTCCGCCTTTTAGTGAGGTATTGCTGGTGGCCTTAGGGGTTGTGAGACATTTCACGTTTAAGAGGAGCTGTCCTTCAGTGGTCAGGGGAACTTTGAATGCCTTCTTTTCATGCTTTGATTGTGCTCTTTACTTTCTGAAGGGAGCAATGTCCAGAGGACAGGACACACCCTGCCCAGGCGGCTCTGGAGCTTTCACTTTGGACTTGAGGAGCACAGAGGGGCTGCTCTGCTGTCGGGAGGGCACCCCGGGGACATGGTGTAAGAGTCTCTGCAGAGGCTCTGCCTCCTTTGGCTTTCCTGGGATCCACCTGGGTCCCCAACATTGGAGCCAGAAGCAGGGGCTGGGGCCCTGAGAACAGCTGGTATGAGTGCCAGCTCCAAGGGTAAGGTGGAGGTTTGGTTATGGCTCATGAGGCTCAGAACGCTAGCAGCTGCTGCGTTCCATGATTCTGAGAAGTCAGCCTTCCCAAGCTGGGAGCAAAGAGAAGCAGGTAAGCTGGCTTTGAAAACACCAGTGGGCCAGGAGAAGGAAACCAGAAGCCAGCTGGCAGAAGGAGGGGGAGGGAGGAGGGAGGAGGAGCTAGAAGTGGAGGATATGGTGGGCCTGGGCACCAGGGGACCAGGCAGCTTGAATGGTCTTGTTCTGGGAGTGCCCAGCACAGCTGGTGAGGGCCAAATCTTTGTTTCTTTTTTTTTGTGGTACCAGGTATTGAACTCATAAGTAGGCACTTATGCAGCTGAGCTAAAATGCCCCGCCTCAGGGACAAATCTTATTCATGTGCTTTAACAACATTTCCATAGCATTTACTGGAATTAGGCCCCGTCTAGTTACACATAGTGACTACAAATACAGATTCATGTCCTCCTCATTACCAGCTTGTCAGAGAGAAACTGAAACCATGGCGACTGTGCAGATGAGTCAGCCTAGGTGGGGAAGGTCACGCTGAGAGGCCCAGCCTGGAGGGCCACCCTGGCCGCTCTCTAGTGTTTTTCCTTCCGATGACTGCAGGAGGCCTTCTCTTCCTTCCACAGTAGGTGGTTTGGGGATCTTTTCTCTAGCCAGGGCTCTTTATCTTCTTCATGTGTCCGCCAGTTGGTTCAGGGTCATGTCCTGGGCTCATAGCATGGAGGAACTTGGGTGAAGAGCTCACAGGGGCTAATGCTTGCAGGTGATACTGGGCACCATCAGGGGGTGCCCTACAGCCCTCCCACAGGAGGTAACACATCCACATTGTGGGGGCTGCTGTCCTGAGCTCACAGATGGTGTGTGCAGAAAGCAGAGATGGAGGAGGGCTCCACCAGAGGGATCCAGGTGTACAGGAGAGAGGGGCCTGGTCTCCCGGAAGACCTGGGCTGCACTGTGGGTGCAGGGGGGTGAGAGTGGAAGACAGCTTCCTTTGTTGGCGATCCAGATGGCTCCCTCAAAACATTGCCTTCCTGGAAGTGGTGAGAGGTGCCAGGTTCTGCTGTTTGTAGGGGTCAGGATTGTTGTAGGCCCATAGCCCTGTAGCACTCCAAGCCCACAGGAATGCTGTGCTGTTGCAGGGAACTGACTGCAGCCCTGAGATTGGCTCTTTCTGCGGTGGCGTTGGGGCCCTGGCCTGGATCTGCCTGCTGCCTCCTCCTGCCTGATGGTCAGGGCCTGCCCCAGGGTGTCTCTCCTGGTGTCTGGACCATGGAGGATTCCTGCAGCTGCTGCCTGCTCTGCCACCTCTTGTCCCTGCTTCTCCTTGTCCAGCTCCCTAACTGGGCATCCACAGGTGTGTGGGTCCCCGTCTCTCTCCTGTGAGGGTGGCAACACTTGGTTGGGATGGGATGCGATTTGTGGAATCTCTGGCTCTAAAAGGTTCACATTTCCTCATAATTTTAATCAAAAATTAAGATGGATCATGTGCTAAAGCATAAAATAAGAGCTTAGGAGTTTTCAAAGACATAGGATCCTGACAGTTGTCCAAAGTTCAGCGTTTCTTTATTTAAAAAGCAGAACACCAATAAATTAGGAACATTTCCCCTTACCTTTATTTCGCTGTTTGTTGGATTGTAAACATTCATCCATCCATGCTGTTTCCCACATATTAATGGAGTATTGACACTGGTAGGTGTTAGGTGTAAACACATATTTGTTAGATAAGCAAATCAGAAGGACTGTCCATTATTATAAACCTGACGTCCTAGAAGGAGATGGTAAACACGAATTACAGCACACAGACAGGGTGGAGGGAGACGGACGGGCCTGTGCTGTGAGGGGAGTGGGAGATGGGCTTGTGCGGCAGCAGCGTGCTTGGTGAGGCCGCAGACTAGCCAGGGTGCAGCCTGGAGGGGAGAGCTGGGCCTGAGCACCTGCCACAGAGGACGGTTCCTCAGTGCCTGGGAGAAGGGCAGGCAAGGGTTGATCTGGGCAGAGCTGGGCAGAGCTAGCCAGGGGTGCAGAAGAGTACAAGGGGGAGAGAGGGGCCCACTCTGTTGGGATAAGGGCTCCTTGGGGAAGTTGGGGAGGTGCAGGAGGACTTTGAGCAGAGTAGTGACAGGCTTAGCCTGTTTATTAAAAGCATCACAGAGGTGGAAGTTGGGAGAGGACAGAAGGGGTTTCAGTCCTCTGTTTTACCCAGAGCACAGTGAGGGTGCTGGGCTCCAGGTCAGAGAGCACAGGGGGTGAGAAGTGCCCCTTCCTCTGCCCACTGCTGCTTGTCCCTGGAAAGCTAAGGTCTCTGCTGGGTAGGAGGGAGGGCCCAGCACTCCTCTTGGGTGTGAGGTCACAGGGGTGCTGTGAGTCATGAGGGCAGGAATTTCACAGATGCAGCCTTTGACTCTGTGTTTGAACATGTGCACATACTTCAGTAGAAATCTGAATGGACGCAACCTATCTATAATGGGAATTGGGGAATTTCGTGGTGTGGCTAAATTATCCAAGAGTGCTCGCCCATCTTGGCCTGGGTGTGCCCTGCAGCCGGTTTCAGGTTTTTCCTGACACAAGCCAGGCTGAGATGGGGCTCTCAGAGTGTGGCCCCTGGACCAACAGCATCCATCCTGTGGCCTTTAAAGAGTAAAGTAAAGGAATGTACGTTCCGGCATCCACCCTGGAAAAGTGGGCATGCAGTAAACTAATCTGTTCTCCAAGGCATCCTGGTGATGAAGTGTGGGCTTCCTTTTGGGATCCCTGAGTTAGAGACTTATTTATGGAAGTCAGGAGCACAGGCTGAAGAAAGAGTCTCTTGGGCATCGTTCTGGGTCACATTGTAATTGTTAGAGGACAATATTGCTGTTAGAGTCACCACAGCTCAGTCCATCAGACCTCAGCCGTCCGCTCATCCAGCCCTCGTCCCTGGCTTGCCTGGCTTTCCCACCAGGTGGTGTGTGGCCTTTGACCTTTGGCTTATGTCTCCCCAGAGTTCTCACTGCTATGTCTATATCTGCAGAGGAGTTCTGGGTGCTCGGGCCCCCAGAACCCATTGTGGCAGTGCTGGGTGGCGATGCCACACTCTCCTGCTCCGTGTTCCCAGCCATGGATGTGAGAAACATGGAGATGAGGTGGTTCCGTACTACGTTCATGGAGTCTGTGTTCATCTATCGGAACCAGCGGGAGCAGACAGAGGAGCAGATGGCTGAGTATGCAGGGCGGACCTCACTGGTGAAGGAGTTTCTTGCCCACGGGGAGGCTGCCCTGAACATCCACAAGGTCCAGGTTTCTGACAATGGGATGTATAACTGCTTCTTCAAGATGGGAAGCTTCTCTGAAGAGGCCAGCTTGGAACTGCAGGTGGCAGGTGGGTTATATGATTTCTATTGCAGGGACCTTGGGGATACTGGTTTTGAGATGATGTCAGGGGTATTTAATTTAAGCTGGGATTTTGTAAATGATGGATAGATGCTTTATCCGCTTGTTAATTTATTTGATACCAGTGCTGTATATAGATCTCCTCCAGTGTGTCCTTGTTCTGTGCACCAGGAGTCCATCAGTGGAACTGATATTCCAACCCTATTAATTTTGTATTCCAGAGTAAGAGGCAGAAAAATCACAACTAGTTAATTGGTAGAAGCTGTTCATGAGTGACAAGGTGTTAAAACAGCAGACCAAGTGGAGAAATGTGGGCTGGGTCGTATGTGCCATAGCACACGGGGGCTCAGGAGGGTTTTGCTCACAAGTGTAGCGCAGTTCCCAGGAAGTGAGTGTTTGGATATGTGGGTATCTGGGACCCCGAGTTTCATGCAGGGGAAGTACCATCGTGAAACCCTCGAGCCAGGGGCATGCCTGAGGTGTTCCGTGTATGAGGCTGTCACGATTGTTGGGAAGGTGACATGAGGTGACAGGACTGGAATAAAGGGCAGTTCCAGGATCAACACTGCCCACATCAGGACAAGCTGGTAGGCGCAGACCCCAGAGGTTACACAGGAGTTCAGCAGGTAAAGTTCCAAAGAGCCCAGAGTTCCATGGACCATGAGCTGAAAAGCCAGAGGCCGCCTAATGTCTTCCCAATTATGACCACAGTGAACCCGTGATCTTTGGGGCTGAGTGTGGGGCTGAGGGCTATGGGTGGCGGAGTCTGGGGAGAAGCACTGAGAGGGACATGGGGGACAGTGGCGGCCTGGGAGAGGAGGGTTTGGACACAGAGGTTTTGCAAGTTGATTTTTCACTGGGCACAGTCCAAGGAGGGCCCCAAAGGAGAAACAGGGAACTCTGAGTCACCTCAGCCATAAGCAGGTTTCAGGTTTGCTGATTTCCATCATGGAAAAAGCGCTTTTAGGAAGTGTAGCGAGAAGCAAGGAGCTTCCTGAGACATCTTCCCATGTGGGATTGGCAGGAGGGGGCCCGGGTCCCACCTGAAGCCTTTGTTGTCTTTAAGGCCCTCAGAGAGATTTCCTGGAAGAGAGAAAAGCTTGGATAACTTTTGTGTCCTGAAGCTTCAGTTTTTCTTAAAGAGTACAATTTTAGTATTACAATTTTTGTTGTCTCCTTTCTATTTACAGTTGTTTCTTCCATCCTACCTCAGACTGAACTGGTAGATTCGGGGCAGAGTTTAGAGGCGGAAGAGGGAAATACAGAGGCTCCTGGGCTTGTGTGTTTTGGCTGTTTGTTGTTTAGTGGCAGGAATATTGATAATTATGTGCCATTTATCTAATAATGCTGAATAATATATAGTTACACTTTCATGGCTATATTAGTCACTTTGTTTCTAGGACAAAATATGTGACACAGTGAAGTTGATGAAGGGATTTGTGTTGGTTCACAGTTTCAGATGCTTTAGTCCTTGGTTGGTTGAATAAAAGCAGAAGCATCATCATGGCAGAGGAATGCAGGTCAAACCATGACAACCAGGAGAGAGAGCGAGAAGGGGACAGGATTCCCCCCTTCTGCCTCTGGCCCCCGAGACTCTCCTTCCTGTCCAGGCCCTCCCTCCTCCCAGCACACACCACTCTGCACTTGCCAGTAGATTAATTCACTGATGTTGATACTGCTCCATGCTTCAGTCCCTCTCAGAAATTCCTGCCTCTGGCCCTTGAGATTTTGGGGGAGCAGTTTAGATCCAAGACATAACAGTGGCCTGTGGCAGTAAATACTGGATTAATTTGAGTGTTAGGGAGTACAACCAATCTCGCCAGATTTGGCTAATCGCAGCTGGATTTAGTGTATTTTTGATGCTTTGAAGAAGTAGATTTTAAAACAGCTTTTTCCCATCCCAGAAATTCTCTTCAGAAAGATAGTAAAGAAAATACTTCTCTTAAGTGAGTAAGGACCAAACCAGAATGTGATATGTGTCCTAGACAGTCTACTTAGGGATTTTAAATAAACCAAAAAGAAATGTCTCTTTATTTCACAGGGAAGCTCATACAACTTTTTTCTTATAGTAATCCTCAAATAAGGGAGCTTGAAGTGTAATTTGTTACTCGTATGTCACCCTACACTGACCCGGTAATTGAAGCGATGATCTGTGTTATCTAGTGGGCCATACTTGGCATGAAACAAACTTTTTTTTAACAAACAACCTGCTTCATATCTTTGTGACAGAAAGTAGTTTCACAACTACCCTCCCCCGAAAGGAGTCCCAGGGTTGTTTCTCACCTGGATGTTTTACATTGCTATGTGATGGCTTCCAGGTCCTTGGGGAAGACATCGCTGGGTCATAATGTAGACCAAATACTGCTCCAGTGTTAAAAATTAGCACACACATTTCAAGGAGATAAGGAATTTATAACTCTGCCCAGGGATGTGGAATATAAGTAAGAAGAGGATAAGAATTTTGTCTTATTTTCAATGCAGAGAATTAAAAAATGTTTCCTTTTATTCATGGTCAGCACAAAAGGAGGCCATGTGGACTGTGACTTGGTCCATTCACATTTCTGGTGTTTGACTGACTGTTGGATGACCTTCGACAGCTTTAACTGGAACCCCTTCCTGGGCAGGTGTCAGTTGTTCCATTAAATGGGCTTATCCAAGGGGTAGCACAAGATTTCCCTGGCCACACACATGGCAGAGTACAGATTCCAGCGCTGATCAAGCCTCCGCATGCATAATATCTGGTAACTGCCAAGTTGAGTCACGTGACTAAGACCTCAGGTGGGAACATAAAGGCAAGAGAAAGTGTGTGGAAGAGGGGAGCTGGATGCTACAATGGTGGAGAATTTGGGATACTTTTATTCTGTGCTCATCACAGGTAGGACAACATTATCAGATTGGTTCTCAAAACTGGAGCTGAAGGGGTAAACGTGGAAACTTGGTAGAGAAAATTGATAGTAACCTGGGTAGAAGAGTAGAGAATTGAAGAGAAGCGGCCCCTGAATATAATTTTGGAAGTGTTTTGGGCAGCAGGTGTGGAGGCAGGTGTCCCAGGAGAATGTGTGAGGTGAGAAGCCAGGAGGTTCATGGATGGAGCCTTTGGGCCAAATCCCTGCTGTTTCCTCAGGACTCGTGGTTGGGGAAGAGGCCCCTGTCCTCTGTGCCCCTCTAGTGTCCCTGTGCTCTGGCCCTCTGTTCCCTGTGGCACCGCCTGTAGGCTGACCCATGCAGAGGTCCCTTTCCAGTAGAACCCCAGAAGGTGTGAGGTAGAAGGCGTTCCTTGGCGTTGTGTAACACTCCCGGGGTGTCAAGGTGGCCTGCAGGGCACCCACATTTCCTCTCCTATAGGGGTGGGCTCTGCCCCTCAAGTGCACATCCAGGGCCCGGAAGAGGATGGCGTCCGTGTGGTATGCAGGGCCTCCGGGTGGTTCCCAAAGCCCCAGGTTCAGTGGCGAGACGTCAGTGGGAAGAAGATCTTGGCATTCTCTGAGGCCCACACGCAAGATGCTGACCTGCTCTTCAGCGTGGAGGCCACTGTGGTGGTGAGAGAGGCCTCTGTGGGGAATGTGAGCTGCTCCGTCCTCAACCCCGTCCTGGGCCAGCAGAAGGCCATGGCCATTTTCATCCCAGGTCAGTGCTGCTCCCGCCCCAGCACATCTAGGGAGGGAGGCGTGACCCCAAGTGTGCTGGGCTGGCTGTCCTGGGCTGTGCCCCTGACTGTCTCTGCCTGGGCCACAGAGCCCTTCTTCCCGCAGGCCTCTCCCTGGAAGCCAGCGTTTGCTGTGAGCCTGACTGTGATGGGGCTCCTACTCTTTGGGGCTGGCTATTTTCTGCACAGAGAACATTCTACAAAGCTGCAAATACAGCAGACACAGAAGAATCTGAGTCTGACTAAGGAGGAGGATAGGAGGATAAAAGAGCAGGCACAGAAGGCAAAGGGTAAGCCAGGGTGGGCAAGGCTGGGCACGGTCAGAGCTGGGTGTGCCTGGGACAAGGTGACATGGCGGGGTCGGTGGATCCAGCTGCCCTGAGACCTGGCCCAGCCAGGGTGGCTGGAGAGGTGTGTGAGGACAGCTGGTGCTGTGGGGTCTTCTGAGGGTCTGGTGGTAAAAGTTTTAGGGAACAAAATAATTTTGTGGTGGGTTTTTCAGATACACAGTGTTTCCTCCCTTTGTAGCGGGAGCTCACGTTCTTTTCCCCACACTTTCAGATGAGCTCCAGGCAGAGCTGGGTAAGTCCTGCCCCCCTGACCTTACCGTGTCCCTTGGCGGCAGACGTCCTGGTTCCCCCTGTCTACTCAGGATGTGTTGCTTTTCAGGTCAGAGGAAGGCAGCTTACAAGGCTGGTAAGTGACTCTCCTAGGTCCCTGGGCTCCACATTTCACCTGTGCCCAGGGTCCCCTCTCGTTTCTGTGTAGGCACAGATATGTAGATGTTTTTCCTGAGGGCTGAGGGGAGGCTGCTGGGAGGCAGAATCCTGCTGGATGGCTCTTTCCCATCTGGGCGCTCTTTCCTGCCCAGACTTTGGGGCTGGCTACTGTGGTCATCCTGAGGTCTGTCCTACACTCTGCTTCTTATCTTGACCCCACTCTGTGTTCCATATTATTGGCTTCATAGCATTCAACATAGGTAGCCCTTGATCTGCATCTGGAAGCCCAGAGACAGACCCTGAGGTCTCATTACTGGATCAGTATAAATGAGCGGTTCCTCCTGTTTTCTCCCACATCACAGTCCAGAGTGTTTGTGCTCGGAGGCCCTGAAGGTCCCAGTGAGTGTGACAGGGACAGGGCTGGGCTGCTGAACTGATGAGCTGAACTCAGAGCTGCCTCCAGTAGTGATGGGCCTTAGAAATATTTCACCTGGGAAAGGTTGGGTTCTTTATCCAAGAACTCCCCTCACATTGCTGTCATTCAATCCTTCCTTCTTTATTTTTTTTTGTTACTGGGGTTTGAATTCATGACCTCGTATTTGCCAAGCAGGCACTTACACTGCTGAGCTAAACCCCAGCCCTTCCTTCCTTATTTTTGATTGTTTCCCAAGTATATCTTTGTCAAAGGAAAGTTGAGTTAATAATGCTTCTGACAATTACAGAATTTTATGTTTTGTTCCCTAGAATATCGTCACACATAATACAGTTATGGTTCGTGCTACAAAACTCAATATAGATAGGAAGTGTGTTCTGACTTTTGCTTTTGAGGCAGAGAAAGGTGTTCCACAGATGAAAGTGACACTGCTGAGGGACAGTGGAAGGCCTCAGCCTATGAGGCAGCTTTTTCCTCTGTGCCCATGGAATCTCCCAAGATACCCTGCTTTGTCTCACAAGGAGGAGGCATCTCCTTTGGCCTGTCCCCTCCTGGGGTTTTTGTCACCTGTAGAATGTAGGGGAGCCGGACCAGGTGGCTCCTGCCGAGCTGCTTGTGGCTGGTGTGTAACCAGGGTGTGTTCCCTTCCAGCCTGGAGGAAGGCACAGCTGTACCCGGGTAAGTGACGCTGACCCTCCCTCTGGCCTGACCTCCTGGCCTCTGTGGTGCTTCTTTCCTGTCCGAGCCTCTGCCCAGGAGAGCTGGGTGTTCTGTGGGTTACTGCTACAGCCTTCCTGTGGGCCACGGGGACTCCCAATTCCAGATGGGAGTATGGTTGGGTTTATAGATCCTTCCCCACTGTCCCCCTCCTGTGCTGTAGGTCAATGCTAGCCTTAGCAGTACCAGCTGAAAGTCTTATTCCTCCGATAGTGAGGCCCTCAGAGACTGAGCAGAGCAGCTGATGACCATGGAGGAGGCATTGCTGGTCCCAGAGGGCTTTGAAATCAAATTTGATTGGGGCGTGGAGGTGCATGCTCATCATCCCAGCACTGGTGAGGGTGTGTGGGAGGATCACTGCAAGTTCGAGGCCAACCCAGTTATACAGTGAGTTCAAGCCCAGCCTGAGCTATGTAGGGAGCCCCTGCCTCACAGAAAGAACAACCAACCAACAAACTAACCAGCAAACAGTAAATCCACCTTAACTGAGGACTCTGGCCTTGCTAAAGGGGTCCTTGGTTCTGTTTTTGCCTTTTACCCTAAAGTCTTCCCCTCTGGGCCCAGTTCTCCTGTTTTCTCATTTCCTGCTGCTCCCCTGGTGTTTTAGTATTGAGACATGGTCTCAGTATGGCTATCAGGCTGGTCATGAACTCACCTGTAGCCCGGGCTGTGCTCCTCTCTGGGGTCTCTTGTCTTTTCCTGCTTCTAGAGCTGTTCCATTGTCTGTGGCCTGTTCTTCCAACTTCTACACCCGCAAGGCAGCCTGACTCACCCTGGTTCTGTGATGATGACTGTTCCTCTGACCACTGCCAAGCAAAGTCTGCTTTTGCAGGTTCACATGATTAGTTTGGGCTCACCCGAGTAGCACAGGGTCATTTCCTCCTCTCCAGAATCTCTTTCTCCATCACATTTTTCAAGCCCTCTTCCCATACAGTTAGCACATTTATGCTTTTTGCAGCTTGAGATGGACATACTTGGGGTGCCATTATGCTGAGGGGTGTCCTGGAAGCTTTCAAGCTCTTCTGGGAATTCTTGGGGGAGGCAAATGCATGGGATCTGTTTTTGGGTTCACCAACATCTATTGGGATGTTTTTGCTCCCACTGGCTGGGGAAATGGGCAGTCACTAGTGTCTGCTCTCTCACTGGTCTATCTCTTTCCTGCTCTGAGGTTCTTTCTCTCCCCTCCTAGACTCCTCTCCATTGACTCCTAACTGGGCAAAACTTCTGTGATCCTGTATCCTGAGCTCCCTCCACAAATGGTTTCCAGTCATCTTAAATATTTAATGCAGCAGGTTCTTCATAAGTAAATGGAGGTCTTGAAAGATTTGATACCTATAATTATATCACAGGAAAACCACGGTTCCAGGCTGACTGTGCCTGAGAAGGCATCACTTGCTAGTGAAATCTGGACAGTGACTTTTCTGCGGAGGGCTGTGGCCAGCATCTGGGTCCGAGTGTTAAGTCCCCCTTGCCTCTGGGTGTGGAGCCCGGAGCCTTCACTGAGTACTTCCCCAACTTTTGAAAACAATTTTTATTCTGAAACGATCTTGCATGTCTGTAAGTGGTGCAGGTCACTTGTGCTGTCAGCCCTCTTGCCTCAGCCTCCCAGCAATGGGAGGGTAGGTTTTAGGGCACAGTCTTGTTGGAGAGGCTCGGCTGGATGCATGTGAGTGAGAAATGCTGACTTCAGACATGTTTTGAAACCGTTTCTGTGCTGCTCTCACTGCCCTGTGTCTCAGAGCTTGAGTGTTTCCAGCCGTCTTAAGATCCCTGACTGAAATGTGTGCTTCTCTTGTAGACTGGCGGAAGGAACTGTTCCAGGCTTGTGAGTGATTTCATGCTTTTGTTTTTCTTTTTCTTTTTGCCCTCCTTGCTGTTCCGAGGGCTGCTGGCCTCCCTTCATGTTCTCTATCGTGATACAAATTTTGGCATCATCATTCGTGTGGGGTGGGTGGCAGTTAATGATATCAAAGCCGCTTCCAAGGGCCTAGTGTCATACCTGCCTCCCAAAAGGTGGCTTCTCCTTGGAGGCCCTATACTTGGGTCAAGGGTGCTTATCTCAGGGGGCCTCCCCTCCCTCTGGTAGCCAAGTTGCTGTGACAGTGTGACTTGGGGTTGGCTGTGTGCCTTACTTTGAGGATGGAGGGGCCTTGGGTGATTGACAATTTTTTCTCTCCAGTGTCTGTCACTCTGGATCCAGGATCTGCCCACGAAAGCATCAGCATCTCTCATGGAAACTCAAGTCTCACCTGTGAGCACCCGGGTGGGGATGATCTTTGCAGCGTGTTGGGCCATGAGGGCATCACAGCAGGAAGGTGGTGCTGGGAGTTGGAGATTCAGAGTGGAGAGAACGTCGAGTGGGCCCTGGGGGTGTGCAGGGAAGATGCCAACAGGGCAGGCTGGTATGGAGAATTGGTGGACAAGGGGTTCTGGGTTGTGGAATGGGTGAAAACTGGACACATCACCTCTGTTAAACCCAACATCGATGTTAAACCCAACATTTCTGAGCCATCTAAGGCGTGCTGGAGGGTGGGGGTTTTCCTGGACTACAGTGAAGGGGACCTCTCCTTCTATGACATGACTGCGGGATCCCACATGTTCTCTTTCCTGCAGGCTCCCTTTTCCGGGACTCTCTTTCCGTACTTCAGCTTTAAATGTGGAACTGTGTCCCTGACCATCTGCCACCCTGAGAGTGGTTCTTTGGGGCACCCTGCACCCTTTCACAATAATTGTCCTTCTTTGAAGGAGACCCTGAAGTCCTCTGGGGAAGGACTGGGCTCAGGCTCTGAGGAGGGTGAAGTTGCACCAGGGGCAGACTCTCCCTTACTCTCCAGGGACCTGGGGGCTGTGATCCCATAGAGTCCGTGGCATCCTTGCGCCCTCTGGCTATTCCTGGGTCTGCGGGATTCCTCTTGCAAAAGGCCCTGGATGAAGCCTGGTTGCCCCACTAGCTTCCTCCTCTGTGTTCAGACTCCCTGGTGTGTGGTCAGGGAGTTATCAGGGAGTTATCAGCTCCTGTTTGTGTGCACATAAGGAAGAGAAGAGTGGACTGTTGTTGGAACTGGTTTGAGACGATGACTCTAACTACAGTCCTTGTAGACAGCAGTAGGTATTAAAAGGTCTTTCACGGAGTTCTCTGTGGTTTGTATAGAAAAAGCACTGAGGGCCAGATTGTTGTGCAAAACCAAGGGGAGCTCAGCTTGTTGGTCTTGAGTGTCCCAGATGGACCCCAAGTCTGAGGGTGGGGCCAGATCTCCTTCTGCAGATTTTCTTTCTCTAATCCTGAAGCTTTATCAGCCATACATTTCCAGGGAAGTGAATGAGCAATCAAAGTTTCACTGGAGAAGAATCTAACACTCAAAGCCTTGTGCTTCTTTTGGGTGACACCTATTTTTCCAAATCTCAGTGTATTTTTGTTACCAGTGAGAGAGCTGTTCTGTGTTAACCCCAAAGAGTTTACCATGAGGATCACATGGGCAGCATGGTTGTTTACATACTGAGCATCCTGAGTGTTCCCTGGGCAGGTGTCAACCACTTGGTTTTAACAAAGATACCATGGTATGTCTATTTGTTTTATATGAACTATGTTTTGCATACTTTTAAAAATTTAGAATATATTCACCTTTGAGGTTTGTTTCTAGTGAAATCTAATAATTCTGTTTATTTTCTCATATTAATTCATGTTTAATTTGATTTTTTTTTGGTACTTGTGAACAAATTTATGACCTCATGCGTGCCAGGCAGGTGCTTATGCTGCTGAGCTAAATCCCTTGCCCTCATGCTTAATTTGTGAAAAATAATTGTTTTGACTCTGATGAAACCATTTGTGAACATGGGGCATTGTCTTACTACAGACGATTTTGTTTTGAGACAGTCTTGCAAGTTCAGGCTAGCTTTGAACTCATCACATATCCTGCCCTGGCCTCCAACTCATGGCAGTCTCTTGCCTCAGTCTCCTGAGGGTTGGGATTACAGATGTGCTCCACATGCCCAACTACTACAGACAGCTTTTCTTCATCTCCTGAACTCAGTGATATTCTTTTGCAATACAAAATGGACACCTTCAGGACTCTGAAATCGAATAGGAAGAAGTGCAAAAGCAACACTGAAAAGGGAGTGTTAGCATATCATAAAAGTTGCAGTGATCTTCCTGCCTCAGCCTACCCAGTTCTGGCATTACAGGCTTGTGCCACAACTTGCTTCAGTTTTATTTTGAGCCAGGATATTGCTAACTTGCCCAGAGAGGACTTGAGGTTTTCATCCTCAGGCCTCAGCCTCATGGGAGCTGGGATTAGAGTTTTATGCCACAATGCCTGGCCTACTAAGTTTTTTTTTTTTAAATATAACCCACAGAAATGTCCAGGAGGCCCCACTGTGCTCACTTTTTAGTGAGGTAATAAGAAATACAGGCTCACATGATCAGAAATGTCAGTGTCCCAATAGCAGTGTGTTAGGCCATAAGTGGCAGAATTCAGAATGGCTGTCAAGTGTGCCGGTGACCTGCAGGATCCACAGTAGTTGAATACTGAAACTCACTCCAGAGTCATCAGTGTGAGTCTGTCAGAAAGCTGAAGAGCCTGTATTGGAGGTTGGAGTCTGCTGGAAGGACCTGGAGACCAAGATGTGATGGCAAAGGTGAAGACTGAAGCTCCTCTGAATTGAGACTTCATTCTTCTTTCCCTTTTTATTCCATCTGAGCTACAAGTCTATTGGTTAATGCCTCCCACATCTGGGCTGGGCCCTGCCCCTCAGTTTGCTGGCCTACCTGTCAATCATCTAGGGACACACCAGGGAACTCACTAACCTGTTAGGCTGCTCTTTCACAAGTCAAGTTGGCATATCATGATTAAAGATCACACTGGCCCACTGAGTATTTTGTCCCAACTTCCTGAAACAGCTTCTAACACTGTTAAAATTTCCTGATAATGGTGAAAGGAGGGCATTTCATTATTCATAATGAGTGCCTTTCAACTTCTTCTGAATCTTTGTTAATGAAGTGACTTTTGGAAAGTTCCTAAACAACTCGAAGATGGGCCAGGTTGTCAGGGGAAATAACTTTGAGATTAGAGGACTGTAACTGAGGCCGAAGATAGGGCGGTAGGTTGTTTATTAATTCTCAAGAGTCAAGAATTTCATCAAACATGTCTACATACTTCCAAAAGAAAAAATCTGAAAGGACTGGATTGCAGGAGCTTCTGGGTGGACAAACAGGAATGCAGCCCTCTGTGGGGACAGACTGTCTGGTTGCGAGCTTTGTCTGACCTTCCTCGATGTACACTTTCATCTTGTTATGCATTTGTGTCCTTTTCAGTATCTTTTATAATAAACTGGCCAGCAAGCAATGTATTTCCCCGTGTTTTGTAAGTCATTCCTGCAAATCACACCAGCCGATGGGGTTGGAGGGTAAACTGAGGTTCGCCTTCTCATCCGTTTCTACCACGGTGAAGGGCAGACTTTTAGGGCTGAGTCCTTCCCTTCGTGGGCTCCATGAACTTCTTAGCAGAGTTAAAGTAGAGGACGCCCCAGTGAGGTATGCAGAGAATCCAAGAGTTACTTGCTATGGGAGACCCCACATATTTGTCCTCAGACGTGCTCTAGTGGTATTTTGAAAGTAAAAAATAGGCCTCACCGAGTTAGTACATAACTAATTCCTTTCAGCCTCCCAATAAGACACTGTCCTAACATTTTTTGTAAGACATGGTTTCATGTAGTTCCGGCTGACATTGAACTCAGTGTGATTCTCCTGCTTCATCCTCCCATGAGCCAGGATTACATGTGTGTACTGTTTTGTTTCTTAGTGTACAGCAAACCACTAAGCGTATTACTTATCAGAATGTTTTGTAACTGGCCTTACCATTACACCAGGTGCATCACTGATTAATTGATTTCTATAATTTTATATTTCTCCAAGTCACTTATAACTGTGAGAGCTATGTAGTATTTTCTCATTTTCAAAAGTTTGATCTTACAAAATTTCTTCCCATTGGTTGTAAGGAGAAAGTTTTAGCTTTAATTTTAAAGATATTTTCAAAATACTTAACTTTTTCATGGCATGGGGCAGGGTTTCACTGTTTTATCCAGGCTGGTCTTGGACTCTTGTCTCAAGAGATTTTTCTCTGTTAGTCTTCCAGTTTCAGGACTAATGGCATGCTCACTATTTTCACCTTACGCAATGAGCTATGTAATTAAAAGTTCATTTTATTAACTTGAAACTAAGAAATTTTGAGCTATTGGTTATAATGTACTAACTCTTCCCTGAAGAATTTATGAGCAGCTGGAGAATAGGAAGAAACTTTTCTGGAAGACTTTGTTAGGCTGGAGTTCAGATCTTCCATTCTAACCTGAGAGCTCCTGGTCCTGTTCTCTTGGTCCCTTCTCATTTCATTAGCTTGCTCTTCTCCACAGCTGGGTGCCCTCCTGCTTCTGTTTCCTCAGAGTCTTTGGTTGACGTGAACCTGTGATTTTTACCCACCATCCTTTTCGTTCACCTTTGTGGCTGTTTCTCTCACCTCAGTGAAGGTTACATTGGTGGGGTACAGCGGCCTTTAGGGGACAGGATCCTCCAAAAGGGAAACCTAGGGAGTTTGGGGAGTCAGCCTCCCCAGCAGCATCTGCTTCCTGTAACCAGGACTCCTGGTTGTGCTCCTGTCTCACAGAGCTCTGGAGAAAAATCCATCTCCTCATAGATGCAGAGCGCATTCCTGAGGCCTCTGTTTCCCTTGAGTCCCTTTACTTTCCTTTTCTCTCCTCTCCTTTTCTCCCTCTGACTAGCCAGGTATCATTTCCATCGATGCAGAGGGATGCTCTAATAATCCTACTATGACCCAGAAAGTTGTCTATGTTCTACCTAAGTCATTTTGTTGAGTAGGAGCTGAGATGTGAATCTCCTATTTGGGAAGAAGTGCCATGGGATAATTGAAGGAGCTTTTTGAGCTCAGTGACATCCTGATGGTCACACACAGCCCATCTGTTGCTTTGTCAGTGTATGCTTGATTAAGCCAGGTCAGAAGAAAGTGGGGTCTCTGTTGTACCTCTAGTTTCCCCTGGAGATGGTTCCTGTGACCTAGGTGAAAGAGTTGCTGGCCCAGACCGGACACTTTAACCAGGAAAAGCCGCAGCCAAGTTAGGGGGCTCCTGCCTCCCCCGCACCTATAGATTTGCCTGTAACCCTATACCCCCATCCCTGTAACCCTGGCGCCAAACATGTGCCAATGAAATACCTGTGCATCCCTAATGCCCCTTGGGGTCCACCCCAGACAGAGGTTACTTATGGGCCTCATTCCACGTGTTAGAGAAGAAGAAGAAGAAGAAGAAGAAGAAGAAGAAGAAGAAGAAGAAGAAGAAGAAGAAGAAGAAGAAGAAGAAGGAGAAAGGGAGCGTGTGTTCCAGAGAGAGACCATTGGCCCCGGGGTGGAGATGCTGCGCCCCCGGGGCCGGGGGGGTTTCTCCCCGCATTCCCTAAATAAAGGTTACTTATATTTTATATTTCTTATCTTTGCAGCCACCGCCGCCCACTACTTTCACGGCCGTCCACTCCACTCCTTCCACGGACCTCTTTCCCTTCCCTCCCCCTCTTCCTCTCCCCTCTTCTCAGACCTAACACTAGGGTTTAGAGTTTTACACTAGTCCAGACTGGGAATGTAACAAGGGACAATCTGATTGGCTGTATGGCTAGAATTTCTCTGAGAGTCTTGCTTGTTCTTTGAGTGTTGTTTTTCTCTTTCCGAGGGATGGTAAGGGTAGTGTGTGTCTACCATGTACCTGGAAGTAATGGAGTAGTACACTGCTGGTATCCACCAGCTCCGTTGTTTTCAGGTCATTGTGGGATGCCTTTGAAGGGGATCACGGGACCCTTTTCTCTTCCCTCATTCACTTCTTGGCCATGATATGGTGTCTCATCCCAAAATAGCAGGGTCCTTCCATCATGAACTGAAGCCTCTGTAAGCCAAAATGAATCTTTTCTTTTTATCTTTTTTTCTTCCATGTGTATGTGTGTGTATTTCAGACCGAGTCTTTCTATGCAGTTCAGGCTGACCTTGCACTGAGTACATCCCCCATGCTGTCTTCAAACTCAAGGTGATCCTCCTGCCTCACCTTCCAAATATTGGAATCACAAGCATGTGCCACCGCTCCCAGCTCAAGAAATTTTTCCTAAGCTGCTTTTTTCTACTATTTACTGTAGTGTTGTAAAGCTGGTGAACTCATGAGATAATGAGATATTTAACTTGGAATTTTCTGCAAAAGAACAACAACAACAAAAGACAGCACTATAGAGAGTAAATGATCTGTCTGGGTTGAGGGTTCTTCAGCCTTGATTTGTGCATGAAGAGAGGTGTGAGCCTGCAGTTTTCTCCGTGTAGAGTGTGTCCAAGCACCAAGGGGTATTTCAACCCTTAAGGATGCATTTTTCGTTGACCACTGTCAAGTTTACACTAGGAGGGCCTTCCTGTGCCCTTTATCTGCCCATGTGGTTAGCTTTTGCTCCTAGCCATGGTACAGAACTTGATAGGAAACAGAAAGGGTTTTCAGGGGTGGTTTTGGCTATATATAAATTTTTCTTTCTAAAGAGCTTAACGTTTTGTGTAAGATAGGGCTTTATTGACATTGCTACCAAGAAACTGGCTTATCTTCTCTCTCCAGTGGCTTGTCTGGTTGGTTAGTATTTTTTTTCCTTGACAGGGTCAGATTATGTAGCCACACTGCCCGGAACTCACCGTGATCCTCCTGTCTCAGCCTCTCTAGTGCTGGGCTTATAGGCAGACATCACCAGTCAGGCTATTATGAGTGCTTTGCACAATCCTTTTAGCAGTGTGGGAGGAGGGAGTGGAGAGAAACACTTGTGTTCTACAGGTATAATTAACTACTCTTCATCTAATCCCCAAACTAGCACAGCGATGGCCTAGAACCTGTCATGCTCCTGCAGAGGCGGTGCGCTGCGCGGTGGGGGAGGGGGTGGCCGCCATTTTCAGGGCAGCCTGGCTGGAGGCTGAAGGAGCCCTGACAGAAGAGGGCTGGGGATTAGCATCCTAAGCAGGGTGATGAGAAGGCTGAAGAGTGGGGTGAGGGGTTTAAGTGCTAAGGTTTGGGGGGCTGGAGGGCAGGTGAAGCAGGGGAGTAGGGGGCAGTGGGGTGGGCGGGCCGGGGGAGCCGGCCGCGTGCTGGAAGGGGCGGAGTCCAGAGCTGCGGGCCAGGAGTGCGCAGGCGCGAGGCGCGAGGCGCGCTGGGGGAGGTTTCGCCTGAGCTCCAGAGCGCAGCTGGGGGTCGGGGGGGGGGCGGGCGGCCAGAGAGAAGGCAGGACGGGAGGGACCAGAGGCGGCCCCTGAGAGGTGGGGGGAGAGGCGGGGGAAGTGTGCGGGAAGAGGGTGAGGGCCGCGGAGGGAAGGAGCGGAGGGGGGCCGTGAGGTGGCGGCGCTGAAGGAACCGAGGGGGCGCGGCTGCAGGGAGCTGAGGCAGGGAGCAGGGGCCGGGAGGCCCCGCGGGGCGCAGGACGGCGTGGAGGGGCGCCCGCCTGGAGTGCAGTGGGGTCGGTGCGGTGCGGTGTGGCCGCGGGGGCTCCACGGCGCCATCTGGCGGCGGTCGGGCCTGCGGGCTGCGCGGTCCCAGCTCTAGGAAGGAGAGGACGCGCTGGCGTGGGCTGAGACCAGAGCCCACGCGCTGCCCACACGCGCGCGTTCGTCCACGACAGTTGTGTGGGACTCAGGCCCTCTCTTTCGGCCTCCCCTTTCTTTCCTCCCTCTTTCCTTTCCCCTTTTCCTCCCCCCCTCCCCTTTCCTTCCCTTCCATATTGAAAAAGTGCTGTTTGGTAAACCTTTGCCTTTATCAGGTTTCCCATGGCCTTGTAGGAGCTGCCATAGTAGTGTGATGCCGTGTCCCTCCTGTAGATGTAGGATGTCACCACGGAGCTCACACCTGTCACATCGCCGCATTCCACTCAGGCTGTATCTCTGTAGTCAGAGCTTCCCCTGCCTGGCATCTAGTGAGCTGCTGGCTGTCACTCTTACTAGAACTTGAGAGTGACTTCTGATTTAGCGGAATGCTCTGGAGCTCCGACCAAGTTACTGTGTAGGTAAGCAGTTTATTCCTCCTTATGGCCCAATATTCCATGGTATGGATGTACCAGTTTGCCATCCATGTGCCCCTTGAAGAAAGTTGTGTGCTGAATGGGGTTTTTTCCCCTTTCTTTTATTTTCGTTTGGTGCTGAAAAGTCTCTGCTGTCTAGGCAGCACTGCCAGCCCCTGGGCTCAGTCCTCTTTCCTTAGTGTTCCCATTCACTACTATTCCCGACTTAGAGTGCTTTATCATCTGGAGACACGTCATGCATCGAATGTATGTTTTGCAGATTTTTTTTTCCCAGTATGTAGTTTGTATTGTTATCAGGTCCTGACCTAGATCCCCAATCTCCCAAAGGAGTGTACAGCAAAGGCTTAAATAAAATGAGACAAGTGGTATGATTTTAGAGCTCCAGGAGGGTCAAAACGCTTTAGCTGACCTAGAGATTCTGAGGGCTAAGGCAGACTTCTCCGGACCGCCCATGTTTATTATTACATCGAAATAAAAAGTGAGGAAACCGTGGTCAATGAGCAGGACCTTGGGAGTCACTTCACAGATTTCTGCAAGTAATAAATTATGTCAATGTTAGGAGGACCATCTTATTTTCATGATGACATGGTAGGAGTGAGGCCGTAGCAGCAATACCTGCAGTTGCAGTCTATTGACTTAATTGACGTTTGAGCCAAGTGTCTGCAGCTGTGGCCTTGTCTTGCCCTTTGAGGTATCTCTGGTCTCGCAGGCCACTACAGACCTCAGCCAGGACCAGTGATTCATGGAGGTTTACTTACTATGAATCAGCTCCAATCGCCAGGCAAGGGGCCTAGACTTAGAACAGACTCACAAAAAAATATAGGAAACCAATTAGTTGGGGCCTGGGATTTCGGTCAGTGGAGTGCTTGCCTAGCAAGGGCGAGATCCTGAGTTCAATCCCCGGTACTGCCAAAAAAAACCCCCCAAAACCCCAATAAAACAAAACTCCAAAAAACAACAATTAGTTAACTTTAAATCCTGCTCAGACCTGCTTTGCAGGGGTCTCTAACATCTTGTTATCCTTTCAACAGGCTGTTTTGAAGAATAAAAGTTTTTACATTGTGAAAGAATCCAAGTTACCTGCTTTTCTTCTAAGGTATTGTGTTTTTTGTGCCCACCTGTAAGCTGCAATGTTTTTCTTTGGTTTTCTTTTAAAGGTTTTAAACTTTGAACTTTAGATATAAATTTATGATCCATTTAAAATTTATTGTATTTAAAATTTTTTTATTTTAAAGAGATTAGGACAAAAGAGGACATGACAAAGCATACCAGAACAGAACAATTTAAGTAACACAGTATTTCACCATAGATAACCCGATATAACAGTAGCTACCGTAGTGTCTCTTTCTTTGAAATAGTTGAGCATACCTTCATATACAATAGTATAAAACAAATCAAAATAGTATAAAACATTCAAGAGAATGAAAGTGTTACAGGGCATTACGAATCAAATAACAGAAAATGAAAAATGGCTACTATATTATCTCATTGGCCAAAAAAATTTGTTTATACTATCACACATAATAAAATCCAATAAGATACAACATGATAGAACTAATGGAAACAGAAGAACAAAAGCATGGTAGGACTTCAAGGCAAGATAATAGTACATCAGCACTGGCTATTATGTCTTTTCTTCAAAATAGCTGTTCATACTATGACAGATAAAATCATACAAACCAGAATAAAACCATTCCAACTAATGAGTAAAAACATTATAAGGCTTCAAAGCAATGTAATGGGGAATCATGATTACCATAAACTCTTATGTACTCTTACCATTACTTATACTAGGGAGACTATACAATATTTATATGTGTGTTTGATTTATTTTGCTTGTGAGTATGGTCTCAAGTTGTGTTCATTTATTTATAAATATCTCAATGTGATCATTCTTTATAGCTGAGTAGTACTCCATTGTGTAAAAATATCACAACTTTTTTATCCATTCCTCAGTTGGTGGACACTTAGGTTGTTTGCAAGATCAGGCTATTACAAATTGTGCTGCTATAAACATGAGTGCACATATATCACTGTGGTATGATGTTTTCATTTCTTTTGGAAATATGCCTAGAAGTGGAATAGCTGGGTCAATTGGGACTTCTAATCCCAGCTTTTTGAGGAATTTCCAGACTGACCTCCACAGTGGTTGCACCAGTATATACTCCCACCAGCAGTGCAGGAGCATTCCTTTTGCCCCACAGCCTCTCCAGCATTTGTTGTTGGTAGTTTTCTTGATCCTGGCCATTCTTTCTGGAGTGAGGTGGAATCTCAGTGTTGTTTTAATTTGCATTTCTCTAATGACTAATGATGATGAACATTTTTTTCATGTATTTGCCATTTGTATTTCTTCATCTGAGAACTGTGTATTCATCTCAGATGCCCATTTTTGGATTGGGTCTTTGAATTTTGGGGATCTGATTTTTTTTTTTAATTCTTTATATGTTTTAGACAGAAGTCCTTTGTCTGAGGGACAGTTCACTAAGATTTTTTTCCCAGTTTGTGGGTTTTTTTTTTCCATTATGCTGGAGATTTCTTTTGAGATACTGAAACTTTTTAACAAGAGGTGATCCCAGTTATTGATTCTGGAAACTTGATTCCGTGCAGTTTGATTACTGTTCACGAATTCTCTACCTACCCCCATGTCTTCAAGATTTTTACCTACCTTGTCTTCCAATAGATTTAGTGTTTCTGTTTTAATATTCAGATCTTTGATCCATTTAGATTTTAGTTTAGTAACGTGATAAGCATGGGTGTAATTTTAGTTTTTGGCATGTGGAGTGCGAGTTTTTCCAGCACCATTTATTAAAGAGACTGTCATTCTTCCAATGAAGATGTTTGGCCCCTTTATCAAAGATAAGGTGGTTGAGTGTGTTTGTAGTTGTATCGTTTATTCCATTGGTCTTCAGATCTGTTTTGATTCCAGTACCATGTTGATTTTACTACAGTTGCTTTGTAGTACAACTTCAAGTCAGGGATTGTGATGCCTCCTGCTTTGTCTTTGCTGCTTAGAATTCTCTTTGCTATTTGAGGTCTCTTCTGGTTCCAGATGAATTTTAGGAGCGATTTGTCTAGATCTATGAGGTATGTTGATGGTATTTGCATTGGGATTGCATTGAACCTGTGTAAGAGTTTTTGGAGAATGGCCATTTTCACAATATATATTCTTCCTATCCATGAACGAGGGGTGTCTTTCCATTTTCTGAGATCCTCTTTGATTTCTTTTTCAGGGTATTATATTTTTCCCTGTATAGGTCTTTTACTTATTTCGTGAGATTAATTCATAAGTATTTAATTTTTTTGATGTTAGTGTGAAGGGTGTGGCTTCTCTTATTTCTCTCTGAGTAATTTTTTTGTTAGTATGTAGGAATGCTGTTGATTTTTGAGTATTGATTTTGTATCCCGCTACATTGCTGAATTTATTATATCTAGGAGTCTTTCAATGGAGTTTTGGGAGTTTTCTATGTAGAGTGTCATGCCATCTGCAAATGATGATAATTTAACTTCCTCTTTTCCCATCTTTACCCCATTTATTTCTCTCTCTTGTCTATTGCTCTGGCTAGTATTTTCAGTACGATGATGAATAGGAGTGATGATAAGGGACATCCTTGTCTTGGCTGATTTTAAGGTAAAGGCCTTCAGTTTTTGGTCCTTTAATATGATGCTGGCTGTGGGTTTGTCAGAGATGGCTTTTATCATATTGAATTAAAGACCACCTATTCCAATTTTCTGTAAGGTTCTTAGCATGAATGAGTGTTGGATCTTATCAAAAGCTTTTTCTGTATCTATAGAAATGATCATGTGATTCTTTTGGCTCTATTGATAAGGTGGGTTATGTGTATTGATTTATGTATGTTGAACCATCCTTGCATGCCTGGGATGAATCCCATTTGGTTCTGGTGTATAATCTTGATGATTTGCTGCATCCTATTTGCCAATATTTTATTGAGGATTTTTGCATGTGTGTTCATTAGGGAGTTTGGCCTATGGTTCTCTTTTTTAGTTGGGTCTTTCTTAGCTTTTGGTACTAGAATAATATTTGCTTCCAGGAATGACAGGAAGAATTGCTTCCCTTTCTGTTTCATTGAAGAGTTTGAGGAGTGTCAGCATTAAGTCTTTGTATTTCTTGTAGAATTCCGCAGTGAATCTGTCTGGGCCTGGACTCTTCTTTGTAGGTAAGGACTTAATTACATTTTCAGTTTCATTAATAGAAATTGGGTTATTCAGCAGTTTTACATATTTTTGACCCAGCTATCATACTTCATATGTTACTAGGAATCTTTCCAATTCTTCTGTGTTATCGAACCTATGAGAGTAGAGGTTTTTGAAATAGGTGTTTATGATCTTCTGTATTTCCACAGAATCTGTAGTGATTTCACCTTTTTCATTCCTTGTTGCATGAATTTGAGCTGTTTCTTTCTTTTTTATATAAGGTTGGCTAGAGGCTTATCAATTTTATTTATTCTTTCAAAGAACCAACTCTTTGATTCATTGATTCTTTGGATTGTTTTCTTAATCTGTTACATTAATTTCTGCTCTGATTTATGTAATTTCCTCCCTTCTTTTGGATTTGGGCTTGACTTGCTCTTCTTTTTCTAGATGTTTGAGTTGTAGCATCAGGTTGTTTATTTGTATTGGTTGTGTTTTCTGGATATGGGAACTCAGTGCAATAAATTTTCCTCTGAGGACAACTTTCATTGCATTCCACAGATTCCAGTAAGTTGTATTTGTATTTTCATTTCCTTGTAGGTATTGTTTAATTTCTTGTTTAATTTCTCCTGTGATACACTAATTGCTGAAGAGTCTATTATTCAATTTCCATGTGTTTGTGGGGTTTTTGCAGTTTCATTTATCATTAATTTCTAGTTTCATGGCGCTATGATCTGATAACATGCATGGGATAATTTCAGCTCTTTTGCATTCACTTAAATATGTTTTGTGGGCTAGTATATGGTCTATTTTAGAGAATGTCCCATGTACTGCTCAGAAAAATGTATATTCTGATGTTGTTGGATCGAACACTATATGTGTATCAAGTCCGTTTGTTCACAGATGTGATTCAGTTCTGTTATTTCTTTGCTGATTTTCTGTCTGGTTGATCTGTCCCTTGGTGTCAATGGTGTGTTAAGGTCTCCTGTTATAATTGTGTTATTGCTTATTTGGTATTTCATTTCTGTTAATACTTGCTTTGTGTAGCTGGTTGCTCTGGAATTTGGTGCATATACATTTAAGATTGTTACTCTTCCTCTTGATATTTTCCCCTAACTAGTAGGTAGTGACCTTCTTTATCTCTTAGGGTCATTATTGGGTTGAAGTTCACATTTTCTGCAAACAGAATAGCTACCCTACTCTTTTTTGGGTTCCTGTTGCATGAAGTGTTGTTTTCCATTCTTTAACGTTCACTCTGTGAGTGTCTTTTTGGGTTAGATGGTTTTCTTGTAGACAGCATATGGTTGGACATTGTTTTTTGATCCATTCTGCCAGTCTGTTTCATTTAATTGGTATACTGATACTATTTACATTAATGGTTATAACTGTTATATATTGATTGATTGTTGACACGTTATCTTTCTATTGTTGTATCTTTATCTTTTCATTCTTTTGTCTGCCTTGCTTAGAGGCTTTTTTGTATGTGTATCTAGATTGTCCTTCAATATTCTTTGCAGAGTTGGTTTCATGATAATGAAGTTCTTCAGCTGTTCTTTGTCATGGAAGTATGTTATTTGTCCATCCAATTTGAAAGACAGTTTTTCAGGGTACATCCGTCTAGGTTGGAAATCATTTTCCTTTAGGATCTGAAATACTTGACGTCATGCTCTTCTTGACTTCATTGTTTGTGTTGTGAAGTCTCCCGTAATTCTGATAGGTTTTCCTTTATAGGTGATCTGTCTTTTGTCTCTAACAGCTTTTAATATTCTATTCTTATGTTGGATTTCTGAGATGGTGATTATTATATGTATGGGTGTAGTTTTATTTTGTTTATGGCTATTTAGAGTTCTGTATGCTTCACTAATCCTAATGTCAGTTTCCATTCTCATGTTTGGGAAATTTTCAGCTATTACTTCTGTAAATAGGTCTTGATATCATTTGTGTTGT